TGACAAACAAAAAAACAAAAGCAAGTAATAAAAGTTTACTAAACATTTTAAACAAACGAAAAACTATCAAAGTTATAAATTATTTTTGATTTGGAACTATTATTAATCACTTTAGCCGCAAGCTTAGTTTGATTCGTTTTTATAGAAACACTATGGCCATTTGATTGAGCCTAAAAATGACAACCATTTTGTCCCCTATGCATTTCTGTAATGGCAATCACCAGCATCTGACAGTTATTTACGATCCAGTTTGCAAAAATTACCATTCATCAGGGTGCCTTTACTCTTGTTTCAATACATATGCAAAGCTTAATAGAACGCAATGAAATTTTAATTAACTATTTAACTGCTATTAGATTATAAATAAAAATACTTTTTAGGAAACTTGAAACCCAAAAATTAAACTTGTGACTAGTTAAACTAGAAGTTTTTTGTTTAGAAAATTAAATTGTAAAAATGTAGTCTTTGAATCGTTTTTGAATTGTCATAATTAAATCAAAAGACACACACCAAGTGCAGACGATAATTTGTCTTCACTGCGACTGCCGCTTACCGATTGCACATATAACATTGTAGCAGCATTGAATTGCTTTTTAAGATGTTGATTAGATAATTTTTAAATTTTTGTCAAACATACATTTTTTCCACTACAAAAAATGTTATCAATGTATGCAGAGAACTGTTAAGAATCATTCAATAAAAACATTTTTGTTCAAAGGTAACAAAACTGTAAATATATCGTTTATTTCAAAAAGATCACTCATGCAACAGTGAAAACAAAAATAAAATTTTTGATTGTCTTTCCAAAAATGTCACTTTACTTGTGGGTTAGATAAAAGTTGGCATTAGTTAACAGTTTGCTAATTAGCCTCACCTTCTTAATGAGTTCCTAAATGTTTCAATTGAAGGCTAGAGGATGAATTTTTCCAAAAGCATCGTCCGTCGATAAAACTTTGAAGATGAGGTGAGGCGCTGATATGAGCTGCCCTAAATACATTCGCTTACCTGTCTTGTAATGTTTTGTCCCACACACGATGAGCACCACTTGTCACTTCTGTTTGCAGATGCTTTCAAGGCAGTTAGCTCAAAGTTGCAAAGATAGCTTGTCTTTTTACGCAATCTTTTGCTTTTTTTCTTTTTGTTTCTGTTCAGTTTGGCGACACCATCTTTGTTGTCATTGACGATACCAATCACCAATTGCCTCATACTCAGCCTGTACAGTGTGTGTGTATATTATAAATTCACATTTATAAAAACTGATTTCCATGTACTGTCACTCATGTAAGGATGAGGAAAGAAAGATGTCAAATGCGACAATTGAGGCATCTTTCCTTTCAATGTAAACCATATAATGTGAAGTGCAAACGACGGCCGATTATTTACGGCACGTATATAAGGTAATCGCTTGCTCAGGTGGCGGTTGGCTTGATCGACAAATTTTTGAATTGTGCCCAAAAGCCTGTTTGCAATACAAAAACATGAAGGTTTGTTTAAAATAACCACAACATATGTTTTTATTTGTTTTTAATACATGTGATAAACTAACGTCATTCTTTCCTTTGAAGTGTCTAATTCTCTTCGCTTCGTTCCTTTCGATGGCCGTAGCTTACAAGAGCTTCCTCAGTATGAACGGCAGAGAGCTCATCAACAGCGGTCGTAGTGCTGGTGGTAGTGGCGGTAAAGTTGGCAGTATCCAACTTCTGTCTCCTGGCAAGCAAGTGAACTCCTTCAAATCCTCATCGATCAGCAAGACAACTCGTTCTTCAGTGTCGTCCTTTAAGCCATCTCGACCGACTCAACAGGTGCTGACACAACAACTGGATACTCCGATTCTAGCGCCTGCTCCAACGGTTGCTGAAGCCCCTCAGTTGTTTGCCATCCTCGTGCCTGCAGAAGAAGTGGCATCCAGCCACAGTGTAGCTGCTGCCCCAGCTCCTAAACTTCAACTCTCCGCTCCATCAACTGCACCAGCCGTCCAGTCACAGTTTCACTCAGTGGCCCCTGGCGCAACCATCACTGCAGCAATTCAAACAACTCATTCAATTGAAGTCGTTGATGTCCCTAGCTCTGGCTCTAACTCTGCTCCGCCTGAAATTCACATTCCAGCCAGTTCCCAGCCCATTGAGCTTGCATTCCACTCTCAGTCTAGCCCCATAAACGTCCGCCAAGTTCACATTCCAGGTGAAGTGTCGCCGCCGCAGCACAGTCAATCGGAAGAAGAGCCGGAAATAATAAAAACTACAGTCATTAAGCCAATAGTTCAAGAGATAAAAGAGATAGTAATTCCTTCAAGATCGATTACTCAGGTATATATTTGTTGGTAAAATGGAATCGGTTTTAATTCAATTTATTTTATAGGAAATTAAANGGTGAAGTGTCGCCGCCGCAGCACAGTCAATCGGAAGAAGAGCCGGAAATTATAAAAACTACAGTCATTAAGCCAATAGTTCAAGAGATAAAAGAGATAGTAATTCCTTCAAGATCGATTACTCAGGTATATATTTTTTGGTAAAATGGAATCGGTTTTAATTCAATTTATTTTATAGGAAATTAAGCCAGTGCAAGAAGTTGTAAATCAAGTTGTGACCAGAGCCCAAACCCAAACTCAGAGTTCAAGAGTTCAAAGTGCCGCCCAGCTAATTGCCAAACCTGTCGCAAGTGCTCCAAAGATTTCTTTGTCTTCGAAACCTACTGCCATTTCATCTGGCGTCCCGACATTTACTTTCTCTTCGAAACCCGTTTCATTTGCTTCTGGTACTCAACCAAGGATTTTTCTGGCAATCACCAAAGTAAACGGAAATATCATCAAAAAGTAAAGGAATTCTGGCAATGATTTGTTTAAAAATATTTATTTTATTTATTCACTAAATTCAAATGTTGGTTGAGGTGTTTGCTTCTAAATAAATAAACAGTTGTTTTTAAAATGAGTGTTTATTTACAATTTAAAAACAAAGTTAAATGCACACAATATCACAGTTAGTAAAATGGATTCTCGAATAGCCTCACTTGATGATTCAGTTTGATTCGAATTTGGATTGCTTTCTTGTCTAGTCGCTTCAGCGTATGAAACAATAGTGTTGATGCCTCGATTGTTGATTCCTCTCAACAGTTTAAAGTAGCCACCTTCGCCCCAGTCTTCACCTAACAAAGAATCAAACATCAACAATAAATCTTGCAACAAGTAAGTTTCTGCCTACCCCAACTATTTTTCACCAGCCAATAGTCAAAACCGCCTTGATTTCCAAAACCCACTATTGTGACGTAATGGTTGTAGTCACCATACAGGTCTCGGCTTCCGCCAGAGGTGAGGACGCCTCCACTAATTTAAAATTCAAGTGTTAGCATTAAATATTCTTGCAGAACAATGGGCGCAAAGCTTCCAGTACCTGTACAGCATAAAATGCCTGTCACCTGCATTGATAATGGCTGCCAGCGGTCCCTTGCTGTATAATGCGCTCATAATCAGCTCGTCAGAGGCATTGATAGGCAGAAATGCGTACGATGATATGGTTTCAGTCCAATCAGATGAGTCCCTACGACACCTTCCCGGCCGCCCAGTGTAGGGATAAACCTTCTCGGCAACGACACCAAATTGCTGCACAGCACTGTACACATCGTCCACAGTACCTCCCTGACAGCTGTCAGACACGTATTGCGGCGGTCGAACACAGTCCATTATTTGCTGTTTGGACAACGGCACCAGGGGGTTCTTGGCAATGGCATTAGCACTTTCGACCACAGAAAGACCTGCAAATTTATTGAGAAGATTTTCGGCCACCTCAAACTACAATTTTTGCCTAAGTGCGCACCAGTAGCTACGCCTGACAGACTGAAATCAATAAAGACAAAATTTGTAGTTTGAAGTGGCCAAATAGCCAAATAGTTACCTTACCGGCAAAGATAAAGCAACTTCCGCAGTTTCCTTGATCTTCAACAACGCTGACAACACCTTTTGATCTCCAGTCAAAAGAAACAGGAAAAGTAGTGCTTGCTGAGATATTTTCATTACGAAAAAATGAACCAATTTTAATGTCCTTGCTGTGTTTGCCAATGTACGCTGGGTTTATCCATTTGTGACCAATAAAAGAATTTTCGTTAATACCCTAAAAGTTAAAAACTAAAATTAAAACATTGTTAATGTCAAATTTTTTTACCATATCAGCAAATCGATTTAATGATAATCTGTATTGCGTGAGGCCATTATCATTTTGTCGATTGGCCCTGGTCATCAAGTCAAAGGAGTAAAGAAAATTGCCTTTTCTATACTCAATTTCTTCTGAATTGTAGTATTCTTTTCTATATTTTTTACAATAATTGCTAAAATTGGCATCAAAATTTAGCAAACCCTTTTCAGCAGCAATTGTGCTTAAATTTCTGCCGTATGTGGCTTTAATGAAATGAACGTAGTCAAGAAATGACTGACCATTTGCTGCAATGTTTAAAAGAAACAAGAGAAAAATGTATGGCACAATTGTTTTGCACATTTTTGGCTTTACTTGAAAAAGAAAAAATCAAAATAAATGAGGAGCAAAATGAATTGTTCCCAAATGAAAAATATTTGTTTGTAGTATGACGAATTGGCAAGAGTAAGTGTTGCAACAAATAATAAAAAGTGTCTGTGTCATGATGACAATTGTAACTGAGCAAATTGCACCTTACCGAATTGTACCTTTGTGCACCATTTTAACGTTTGCGGCTGCACATAAGCAAATATGCAAGTAAAGCGATTGCAAAGTAAAGTTAAAGTATGACCAGAAACATTTTTCATGATTGCTAATTGATTTTTTTGGTTATTGGACAAACTTATTGCATCCAATGAATAAAATCAGCAAATTTTGTTTTTGTGAGTATTAAATAAGTATAAAATGATTTTAAACTTTCATTTAAAAATCTTTTATTCATGTCAAACATTTAAACATTTAACATTTAAAACAAAGCCTTTTATTCAAATAAAAACACTATCTGCTACAGATAGCTTTTAAAAAAATTACTTTTCTAATCTATGCATCAAAGATAATTAAAGATCGAATGCACTTTCCCTCTTTGAGCAATTGAAATGCCTCATTAATCTGCTCCAGCTTGAAGTTATGTGTTACCAGGCGGTCAACATCGTACTCTCCTTTGACGTACATTTCAGTCAGTTCAGTGTAGGCCGAATCGCAGTCTTTGTTGCCCATAAACGCACCAGCCACTTTTTTCCCAGTCAAAGTATCAGAAACAGGAAGGACCAGCTCAGTTCCACTTGGGGCCAAACCGACTAGGGCAAGTGTGCCAAAAACTAAATTGTTGTGCATTTTTTAGAAGTATGATTAACAATTTTCAAAACAATTTTAAAACAATGAGGGTATTTACCGGAAAGTGACTTGTAAGCAGTTTCAATAACAAACTTGTTGCCAAGACAATCAAAAGCATAGTCGACGCCCCCATATTTCTCCTTAAGATACTGGTCTACAGGTTTCCCACCCAGCTCATTTGGATTAACAAATTCAGTAATTCCAAACTCTTCACCAATTGCCTTCTTCTCATTGTTAATATCAACACCAATAATGTTTTTTGCACCCGCTTTTTTGCAGCCGTAGATAGCATTGATGCCAATTGCCCCAATGCCCCAGACAGCAGCAGTAGTTCCGGGCTGAACATTAGCTTGATTACGGGCAGCCTGAAAATAACAAATAAATTAAGTGTTAAACAATATTTAACAAAAAATAAAAATATTCTTACGTAAAATCCGGTTGCAACTAAACAGTAAATAATAAACTTTTTAGATCATTGTATTTATAAACTTAACAAATTACCTGCACAAGAAATGATGGCACTGTTCACCAGTGGAGCTGCTGGGTTAATCTATAAATAACATTGAACAACATTTTTACAACTTTTAAAATTTTGTAAACAAACTTACCTTGACAACCTGACTCAACTTGAGTAAAGAGTACTGGCTGTAGATGCCTAGACCTGCTAAGCCAATCAAGTTTTGCCCGTTTTTGGTCAGTTTCTTATTGGGAATAGCGCCAAGTGCAATTAGATTTTCTTTTGCGCAAAAGTTGGTCAGCGGACTAGCACAGTATGGACAGTCGCGACAAGCCGGCATGAAAGTGGTCAGCACGTGATCACCAGGCTGCAGATTAGTCACGTCAGGCCCAACTGATTCAACGATTCCAGCTCCCTCGTGACCGAGAACAGCTGGCCCATCATGACCAGGCCATTCATTCAGTTTGGCAGTGCCCCATACTTATTTAGCAAAATAGTAATTAGTTATTTAAACCAATATAAAAGTCATCAACTTACCGAAATGAGCATCCGAAGCACATATGCCTGCTGACACCATTTTTACGCGCACTTCTCCATTTTTTGGCGCATCAATGGTTACATCTTCGATCACCAGCGGTGTTCCTTCCTTGTAAATGATAGCTGCTTTACAGATGATTGGCTATAAAAATTTTTTTAAAAAGAATCATTTTTATTTTAAATAAACAGTTTTACCTGTTGAGACATTTTAAAAAAGTTTTTTGTGGAACTAATGTAACAATGTGTTCAACTAGTGTAAAACTTTTTAAAAATATTTCCACTTATATAACCAAAAAGCTTAATAAAAAAGTTCAACAAACTGACAATCAATATAACTGAACCGACAAAAAAGTATGTACAAAACTGATAAGCTGGAAAAACGGATGAAATTTGATAAGGTTTGTTTGTTACTAATAAAAAGAAGAAAACACCGCCATACTTAAATTTCATGCTGATTATATACTTATTAGCTAGAAACAAAGTGCTCCGCCTTACTGTATTTTCTGACACATCGATAGATGTTAACTTATCGGCTAAATGTACAATAAAGCGGTGCATTGTAGTTGCTTTGATAAAAGTACTCTTCAAGGTTGAAAAATAAGCTTATCGAAATGATTTATGCTGCACACTAGACAGTACAAAAACTAATGAAGTTCTAACTACGAGCAAACTTGTCTTGTAGACATAACACAAAAAAACTGAAACTGTTATACAAGATAATTGAAATCAGTTGTGGCTAATCATTATTTTGGTATCGCGCCAAAGTTAGCGTCCTGTAATACACGACTTGTATGCATGTAAACTAGTGGGAAACTGTTGCATTGTAACTTTGGTTCACTTTATTTAACTGATGCTTAGTAGAATGCGACCATTTTAGATTGATAGCGGACAGAAATTTTGCAAAAAAACAAGTTGCTGTGCTCATACAAACTGCAAATCGCACTGCATTTGTTAAAACATTTTTCTGTATAGAAGCGCTGAGTGAGAGTGAACACAAGCATACGTAGTCCAGACTG